AAAATGGCACCAAAACCTACTAGGTGTAGACAATTTTGGTGAATTTGTTGAAGTTTGTAGAAAGAACTAGAATTAAATGACCAGACAGTTTGATTAGCTTAATAATAGATGCCAATGAATATAGAAAATATAAAACGTTGACCAAAAATTAGCAGTAGATTTATTTAAAAAAAATTCTTAAAATAAACTCTGTAAAAGAAACCCATCGGATTGGGACAAGATATATATATTGATCAATTTCGCTAACAAATAAATTTTTGGAAAATTACTTTGGTAGATTAAATGTTCTTTACCCATAATCTATGACTTTCTCCAAAGTCAATTCTCCTTCAGCAGCTTTGATTGGAAAGCCAACAATTTCACCAACTTGTTCCCAATGTCTCGGCTTCATGCCCTGGTTGCCCAAAGTTTGGACTATTGGCATGTGGTCTCGGAATTCGGAAATTCGCTGACGAATCTGGTAATAATAAATAACACATTTCTTATTAGGTGGTTATAAAAATCTTCAACAATTAGACATGAACCAAAAATAAATATCTTGTAAAAACAAGAGTAAGGAATTATGACTATACGACTATACTAATAAAATTATTAAAACCTTTAGTTACAAAGATTTGGCATACGATTTTATGAATCTACTATTCTAAATAATAATCACCAATAAATCTCAAACAGAAAACTTAAATTATGGAGCTGTAAAACTATGTAGTAGCCAATTTAATTCCAGTTGTTGCAATAATTAAACATTATCATTTATCCCTTACCTCAGCTGCTAAATCCTTAGTAACAGGATGCTTCCCAGCAAAGTTCTCTTCCAAAGCCATAACAGTCTTAAAATAACCCTCAACTTCCGTCTGAATCTCCTCCGGTGGAAACACACCAATCTAAAACCCCAACAATTATTTATTATAATAAAGTTTTATAAATAAATAATAAAGTTTTATAAAACTTCGACAAAACTGAGTTTTATCCACCAAACCTACCTTGGCCTTCATCCAATGATCGTATTTATCCAAAAAATCTCCACAGTTATCATAAAGATTCTTAAACGGCCTCAACCTTTCGTGAATCTCTTGCTGAAGTGGATAACTGGACAACTCGTACCCGAAGGATGTCTCTTCGGTGTTGAACTGCTTTATGGTCTCCATTGCTAAAATCAACCTAGGAAATAAGACTTATTAATTCTAGATTTAAGATGGAGGTAAGAGTGATTTTAGACCTTTGGTCCAATGTTGTGGCACGTTTTCTGTATTTTTTCAATTGCGAGACGTCGCCCCAGTTTCTGCAAGCGTTTACCAGGCAGGCCATCCAGACGTTGAAGTTCTTCTCCAAATTGTACTATTCTTGACTAATTATAAAAAACAGAAGGTTCAGTACTTATTTTTATATGGAATGTGATCAGTTGTACCTTCAATCCTCTTTGGAATTCAGCAGTTTTGATATCAGCCATTTGACGATGCTCCTCAAACACTGAAGGCATACGTAGATACCTAGATAGAAAATAAATTCAACACAAGCAGTTCAGAATGAAAACTGTGGTGATGTGTAGGCAAATTTTTGCTGTGGAGCTCATGAAACACTATAGACCTCAATTTTAACACAATTTTATACATTTTAAAACCGTTTTGGTGACAATCAAGTAATTCTCCAAGTGCATGCCTAAAAATTGCTCATAAGTCTTTCCCCCTACCATTGAAATGCCTCAGTGTTCTGCTTAATTTCCTGCTGTGTCAAAGCATGATGATCCGATAGAAAGAGCAGTCTCCGAACAACCTGACGCAACCTGTCCTGCATGACTGCCAATGTGCTGCCTTCAGCCTGACGTACAAATTCAGTTGCTGCCATCAATTGGGCAGTATCTTCGGGTATTGCCAAAGCACTTGAGGACATTGATTGGTACTCTTCCGATAAACTGGAAGATAAAAACAATTAGTAAATAATAAGATTTCAGTTCAAAGATGATAAAAATAAAAACAAGGCAATAAATGAAGAAATGGGATATAATAATGAATTATCTGAAATTGGAAGTTTATAGTAAAGGATAGAAAGGCAAAGAATTTAAAAAATCATGATGGTATAAATACTGAAAATTGTAAAGCAAAAAGTTTTAAAGTAAAGACCAAAGAAAAAAGTTCCATGATTCTACTTTCCAGCAGTCCATTTATTAAAATAATTATTATTTATATAGTGCAACTTCTTACGCTCTCATCATATTTTGATAATCCGTAATAATCCAATTGATCAAATCATCCTTATTTTTAACAGCAGCATTTGTTAAGGATTGCACCAGATCTTCTCTGTGCATCTCGTACAAACCAATGGTGACCACATGCTCCACCTTGAGCAAAAATCACATTGATTATATAATAAATAAATAAATATATATATATATATATATATATATATATATAATAAGGTGGTCCTTAATATGGACATTTTCGATTTTCCTTGCTCCCAGGGCTCAAATGGTTCCAAATTGATAAAAAACAATTCTCTGAAAGTTTTAGCTCTTAAAATTCTCTTTTAGATAGAATGCAATTCAATCAAAGTTTTGTATGGAAATAGCATAGAAATTTTTTTGAGAATTAAAGGCATAACTTAGCGACAAATTTTGAATAAAATTCAATCATTTGTTTCCTAAATTATATCTAAAAACATTTTGAAAATTTTTGAAAATTTTGTCATGCTATTTCCATATGAAGTTTGATTGAATTGCGCACTATCTAAAATTAACATCAAGAGCTGAAACTTTCAGAGAATTGCTTTTCATCAATTTGGAACCATTTGAGCTCTTGGGAGCAAGGAAATTCGAAAATGTCCATATTAAGGACCACCCTAATATTTATATATGTATAATTTTCTTACTTCGACTGGTATTTTATAGGATGTGCTCTGAAATTTCTCAATCAACTCGCAATATTCTTCAAACGGATGTTCTGTTGCAAAAAACTCCTTCATCTGTTCCTGAACCTAAAAAAAAAACAATATTTATAATATATAATTTATAAATGAGTCTATAGTTTTAATTACAACTCACATTTCCATTAATCAAATCAATAAACTGATCAAAATCCTGGACAAGCAACTCTGGTCCAATTCTGTGATCCTCCAAAATCTCATGAACCTCCTGTCTGCATTTTTCGATCAAATCTTCGGGAATTATGGGCTAAAAAATAGACAAAAATATTAACAACACGTAAATAATTATTTTCAAATTTCCTGGTCTACTTTTAACATTTTCCTGTCCTCGTCCTGGTTAGAATTGACATCGACTCTTGGAATATCTTTGACAATCTTTACCATGAATTTGAAAGTGTTCAAGAAGACTGTTTGAATTTTTTTGAACGACGGTTCGAAATGCAGGCCGTCTTTTCGACGGACTATGTTGATCTGGATGCCTCTGTTTCTTTGCTAAAGGTGAATAGATAAGTAGATAATTGTTTTGTGTATTTGGAAATTGTTTTTGGTGTTTTGTTACCCCGTAATCAGCCACATAATCAGCGTAATCCCTGGCGCTGTTCAGGCACAATTCTTGGAGTTGTCTTTCCATTACACAGGCGATGGTGTCGAAGAAACTTTCGTTGGAACGTTCGTCGTTTATTGGACGCAATCTTAAAAAAAAATAACAAAAACATTAAATGATAGATTAAAAATCAATATAAATCATTAAACATTATGATAGATTTGTTTTCTGGGTTATTTCTCCTACCTGTGTTTGGACGATCTGGACCTGGCCCTGGCCCTGCTGCGTTGCCTTCGCATCAGGAGATCTCTCAAAGAAGGCAACCAATCGTTCAGCATAAGATCTCTTGCTTTGGATAAATGAGATTTCACCTCCGATTCGAAATTGGCCAAAGATAAGGCACCACCGCATTTGGACAAAGAGTTGGTGTCCACCAGACGAAAGTCCCTGAAGAAGGGAAAAAACTTTGTGTGCACATTTATCCTTTCGCGAAATAAATTTAGAGTAGACCAATTTGTTGAAGGTCATTATGGTAATAGACAAACTTGTTGGTTTTTAATTTTGCACTAATTTGCCAAATGTACTATTTATATAGTTTACAAGTTAAAAAAAAATGTAGTAAACAAATGCACTTGCAACATGAATACATCTTCTATAACTCGTTGTATTCTTCTAAATGGTCATTTATGAGTATACCGAGTTGCTGTATAGCATTATGATGTTAGACAATTCTGAAGATTATCTAATTTTGTACAAATTTGCCAAATATTCAATTTATATTAAACCAACTATTTAAAATTTACAAGAGATTTAATAAGTACATCTGGCTATAGCCTAGCCATTGTAATTATAAATACCAAAATTTCCAAACCCAAATATTAATAACTTCTCCGATTTAATAAGTACATCAGGCTAATTACCTGAATTTTCTAACCCAAATATTAATAACTTCCCCAACATAAGGATTGACCGTGTTCAAGCATTTCTGAATCTTCGTACGATTTTTATTAAAACTAACTTTCCATTCTATTGTAAATATTTTTAATTCCGTACGTTCCGGCGAATCGAATTGGACAATCTACAAGGGAAAAAAACTTAATATCAAAATCAATTATAATTTATTAAATTGTTTATCCATTTTTACCCTGTCTTTGGCTTTTGACGAATCCTGCAGGACAAAATCCACTATGGCTTTTTTTACAGCCACCAAATAGTCTTCTTTGACTTCGTTTGTTAATAAATTCAAACAGGACGTCCATTTGAGAAGTTTTTGACTTATTAAGGAAAATACTCTGGAAATAAAAATATATACACATAAATAATGATAATACATTTTTAAGTATAATAAGTTGCCGCAAGGAAAATTAATATTAGATAATAGTATAGAATTTTGTATAAAATTGTCCCTAGAATAAGTTTATTAAATTATCCATTTGAGAAGTTTTTGACTTATTAGGGAAAATACTCTGGAAATAATAATAAACACATATAAGCAGTAAAAATACATTTTAAAGTATACCAAGTTGCTGTAAGAATAAATTATAATATTAGATAATAGTATAGAATTTTGTACAAAATTGTCCCTAGAATAAGTTTATTAAATACCTGTATGTTAAGCACATGTAGCCTTTTTTTAAACCGAATTTTAAAGTACACCGAGTTGCTGTAGAGCATTGTAGTATTAAACAATATTATAGATTATTTAATTTTGCACAAATTTGCCAAATATTTCAATTATATCAAACAGTCCGTTTAAAAGTTACAAGAGATATGAGAAATAAAATAATAAATTGCTTGCACTTGAATATTTTAAGAACAAACTTCCTTTTCTTCCATACGACGTTTCGACAAGTATAAGAATTATGATATATAATTAATGCATTAAATATTTTTTATACACCAACTCCAATATATCATCTAAAAGATTTTCCTAAAATCTAAAAAAAATATGTTGAAAGCGATTTTAAAGTATACCGAGTTGCTGCAGGGTAACATAATATTAGACTACTTACTTCATAGAGCATCCAATTTTAAATAAATTTGCTTAATATTTTATTTATATTAAACAAACTATTTAAAAGTTACAAGAGATATAATAAAAAAATGCGCTGCAATAAATATCTCGTCAATTCAAGATTAAATGTAAACAAAATTCGGAGTTACTTACCGACATTCAAATTCAATTTTAAAGTATACCGAGTTGCTGTAGAATATTATAATATTATAATATTATAATATTCTATATGTCTATGTCTATGTCTAAGTCTATAGACAATATTATAGAGCATTTAATTTTAAACAAACTTGCTTATTATTTCGTTTATATCAAAGAAACGGTTTAAAAGTTACAAGAGATACAATAATTATATGCACGTCTAATAAATGTCTCATCAATTCATGACAAAATTCGGAGTCACTTACCGGCATTCAAACTCAATTTTAAAGTATACCAAGTTGCTGTAGAGCATTATAATATCAGACAATATTATAGAGCATTCAATTTTAAACAAATTTGCCCAATATTTCAATTCTATTAAAAACACGGTTCAAAAGTTACAAGCAATATAATAAATAAATATTACCTTTTCATTATCTTCGGTTGCAAAGGTGCAACATGCACAGTATCGATACCATGATGTATATAATAATAATAACGCAAAAACTCCTTTTCTTCTGGAGAAGGAATATCGTTTGGATCGCCATCGTCTTTTCTTATTATTAAATTAATCAGTCTTTTGCGAAATTCTTCACGCTCCTTCCTTAGAGCCGTGTAAGTTAAACCCTCTAAAAAATAATAGATAGACATAAATAAATAAAATAAGGTAAATATTTGTATATATGGTGGTGCTTACTTTTAACTTTTTTGGTCTTCTTGTCCTTCCTGGCAATTGGTGGTAGTTTTTTATGTTTGGCACCTTTAAATGTCGGTTTTTCTCTGAAAGTTTTCGGCAATTGGAACAAAGGGTGCGACAAAATATCGTAATCATCGGGTAAATGCTCCATTTCGTTTTAATTTAATATGGAACTAGTTGTAAGTGGCATTTTGCCTTAAGGTAAGTGTAAAACAACGACTTATATAATCAACAAAATTCAGATTTAGTTGTTAGACAAATTTTCCAACTCTTCATTTCGCTTGCACTAAAATCTTTTCAGCGATTTTATTCCATCAACAAAACTTTGGTTGCCATGGAAGTTTTACTTCAGGATGAGGAATGTAAAAATGATCTTTTCACAGAGACAAACTGCTGCTAATAGTTTATTAGTAGTTTATATAATTGCACTAAACAATAGCTTTAATAATTTTTTTTTACAAAATAAATTCATAAATGTGGTTGCAAGCAACTGGACAGAATATTTTTTAAAATTTCAATTGCGATTTTAAAGTATACCGAGTTGCTGTAGAGACTTATGATATAAGAAAATATTATAAATTATTCAATTTTGAACAAATTTGCAAAATATTGTATATATATTATACAAGCAGTTTAAAAGTTACAAGAGATATAATAAATATGTGCACTTGAACTAGTTGTAAGTACGGAGAATAATTTTCTCTTTTCAAATGCGATTTTAAAGTACACCCAGTTGCTGTAGAGACTTGTGATATTAGAAAATATTATAGATTATTCAATTTTGAACAAATTTGCCAAATATTTTATATATGGCAGACAAGCGGTTTGAAAGTTACAAGAGATATAATGAATATGGGCACTTGAACTAATTGTAAGAATAGAGAATCATTTTCTCTTTTCAAATGCGATTTTAATGTTCACCGAATTGCTGTAGAGACTTATGATATTAGAAAACATTATAGAGCATTCAATTTTGAACAAATTTGCCAAAAATTTCATATATGTTAGACAAGCGGTTTGGAAGATATAAGAGATATAACAAGTAAGGGTAACTGGACACAATACATTTTTTGTAGTTTCAAATGCGACTTTAAAGTATACCGTGTAGCTATAGAGACTTATGATATTAGAACATATTATAGATTATTCAATTTTGAACAAATTCACCAAATATTTTATAAATGTTAGACAAGCGGTTTGGAAGATATATAACAAAAATATGTACTTCTACATGTTCTAACTGTAAATTCAGAATAATTTTCTATTTTTTTCAAAGTATACAAAATTGCTGAAGATCATTATAAGGGGCTGGCCATTAACCAGATCGATTTCTAAGGATTTTTGGACCCCTCCCCTCACTCTTGATCATATTAAAAATAACCCCTATTCGTCCTATTTTTAGTACCTAAAAAAAACCCATAAAATTTTGTTTTTTTTTTTAAATTCAGGTAAAAAATAAATACATGTGATATCTTACTAGACTCCGCCCTCTCTTAGGTAATTTTTTGTCAAACCCCTAATTGAAGGTACGTCCCTCGGACGGCCCCTAATAGATAATCATGAAAATAATATAATTTAAACTATTTTTTCAAATAATTTTTATACTTATTTAATATAAACGTGTTTAAAAAATTATTAGGTATATAATAAATATATGAGCATTTCCAACGTATATTCAAGATAACACTCTAGTTTTTGTTCCAATTGCAATTTTAAAGTAAACCGAGATGTTGTAGAGTGCTATAATAGACAAGATTATAAATCATTTAATATTAAGCAAATTCACTGAACATTTCATTTATAATACTCAAACGGTTTAAAAGTTACAAGAGATATAATAAACAAATGCATTACTTATACTCTAGAGCAGGCCTTCTTAAAGTGGGGGTCGCGACCCCCAGGGGGGTCGCGAGACTACTGAAAAGGGGTCGCAAAGATCTGATACTTTTCAATCATTATAAACAAAATTTTAAAATTAGTATTATTAGGCCAACTATTTTCACGATAATTTGTGGCTTCTCAAGCTATGCTATTTGGCCAATATTTTTGATAAAATCAATGATATGAATTTATCAATGCGGGGGAGTCTGCGTTAATATGTTTATGTTAAAAAATAAACTAGAGGCCTTTGTTAAAATAATTCTTATATGGAAAAACAGAGTAGAAAGTGGATCGCTCGAAATGTTTCCATTTACTGACGAGTATATAATTAGTAACAATATTTCAAAAAAAGATACTCATAAAAAAAATTATAGTTAATCATATGAAGAATATGGAAGTTTACAGGCATAGGTATTTTCTCAATGATATCGATACACAACAATATATTTGCAATCAATTTTCAATTGAAATGGAAGAAATAAATTTGAGAACTTAAACTTAAAAGCACAAGAAGAATTTGCCAAATTAACAAGTGATACTACTTTGCGAATCAGATTTTCTAAAGTGCCTGTGCATGAATTTTGGATAGAAATCAAATCAGAATATCCCCTACTATCGGAAATGGCAATGAACAAATTATTGCCATTTTGTACAACATATTTATGTGAATGAGCCTTTTTTACATTAACATACATAAAAACAAAATACCAAATAAACGTTGAAAATTTATTACGATCTGCACTAACTCAAATTGAGCCTAGATTTAATTATTTGTGTAAAAATAAACATTCACATCCGACACATTAATATTGTTTGATGTTAATAATATGTTTTTAATAAAAAAAACTGTTAAAAAAGTTTTTTTTTTTAATATATATTTCAGTATATGAAAGAGGGGGTCGTTTCAAATTTCCTAAGCTTGAAGGGGGTCGCTATATAAAAAAGTTTAAGAAGCCCTGCTCTAGAGTATACAGCTGTATATGCTTTCTTGAATATATTATTTTCAAATGCAATTTAAAAATACATGGAGTTGGTGTAGAGATGCATAATATTGGACAACATTGTAAATAATTTAATTTTAAACAAATTTGCTTAATATTTGATTTATATTACTCAAACTGTTCAAAAGTTATAAGAGATTTAATAAATAAAAGCACTAGATTCTATAAATAAAGAATAGATAAAGAATCATAGAGAATTTATTTATATATTGATGTTTATTTGAAGCAACTCACCAATGGGATAAAATTTATTATTGGACCTGAAAGTTTCCAAAATAGTGCCTGTAAAATAATGTTAAACTAAACAATAACTATAGTAGTAAAAACAAAATATTTTCTCTAACAATCTTGAACTTAAATAAATATATTTAAGTTCAAGATTGTTAGAGAAAATATTTTGTTCTTACATTTTCCTCTAAATATCAATGAGTATATTATTATTGATAAAGAATTTTCTATTTCGAGGTGTTATTTTGAACTATACAAAGTTTAATTATATATAATATCCTTTACATGCATAAGAATACAAATAGTATAGGTTATTAAATTTTGTGCAAATTTACCAAATTTCACATCCATCTTGGATAAAAGCTCAACAGGTCCCAAAAGTAGTAATAAACAAATACACATTTATCAAGCTCAACACAACAATTAATCTCCATTGCAGAGATGTTTAAACATGTTAAACACTTTGTAATAAGATCCATTATTAAATTTATGTAATGACACATGTAGAAAAGGTTAAATATTTGTTTACATCGGCACTCAAAGAAGGATTGATAACGACTGATCAGCGCTCTATATAAATGCCTAGAGCTCGTGCAAAAATTGCATTGTGCAACTTGAAGTGAGGAACTTGTCACCGAGGGCGCAAATTTTGAAATCAAAATAAATTTATGCATTTTAAAGTACATTGCTGTAGAGCAGTATAATATTATACAAAGATTATATAATTTTAAACAAATTTGCTTAATATTTAATATATAATACGCAAACGGTTCAGAGATATATGGATATAATAAAAACATGAATAAACACATATTCATGGTTAAAATTCTATAGATCTCTATTTTTACATTCAATTGCTATTTTAAAGTATACCAAGCTGCTATAGAACAGTATAATGTTAGACAATATTATAAATCAATTAATTTTAAACAAATTTGCTTAATAATTCACTAACATTGCACAAACAGTTTTGAAGTTATTATAAAAAAAAAATGCATAAAATCAAATGCATGCAATTCCTATTTCTATAGACCTATACAATTTTTACATTCAATTACTATTTTAAAGTATATCGAGTTGCTGTAGTGCGTTATGATGTTAGAAAATATTATAGATAATTTAATTTTATACAAATTCGTTAAATATTTCATTCGTCTCGGAAAAAAGATTTAAAAGTTATGTGAGGTATCATGAATGAATACATATTTAGCTTGCTTTAAACAATTTTCTATATTAAATTGCTATTTTAAAATATACTGAGTTGATGTAGAGTCTTGTGATATTAGACAATATTGTAGACAATTTAATTTTAAACAAATTTGCTTAATATTTCAATAACTTTTCACAAGCCGTTTGGAAGTTACAAAAGATAATATAAATAAATGCATAAACTCATATGCAGACATATTCATGGATAAAATTTCTATAGATCTTATACATTTTTTACATTCAATTGCTATTTTAAAGTATATAGAGTTGTTCTAGAGCGTTATGATATTAGCCAACATAGTTAATAATTTAATTTGCAACAAATTTCTTTAATATTTTATGTACTCTACTCAAACCGTTTAAAAGTTACAAGAGTTATTTTAAACAAATGCATAAAATTCCATAAAGCCAATCCACGATTGGTTATGGGTCACTCGATTAGTATGTACTCACGTTAACAATCTCTTTTTCAATTGCAATTATAAGGTATACCGAGTGACTGTAGAGATCTACAATATTAGACAATATTATAAATAATTTAATTTAATGAACAAATTTGCTTAATATTTCAATAACTGTGCCAAACGATTCAAAAGTTACAAGAGATATAATAAACGAATGCATAAAGTATGCACCCACGTCAACAATCTATTTTTCAATTGCAATTTTAAGGTATACCGAGTGACTGTAGAGATCTACAATATTAGACAATATTATAAATCATTTAATTTTAAACAAATTTCTTTAATATTTTATGTACTTTACTCAAACCGTTTAAAAGTTACAAGAGATATAAAATTCATAAAATATGCATATAAAAATGCATAAAATTCCATAAAGCAAAACCACGATTGGTTGTGGGTCACTCGATTAGTATGCACTAACGATAACAACCTAATTTTCAATTGCAATTTTAAGATATACCGAGTTGCTGTAGAGCTCTATAATATTAGACAATATTATGAATAATTAATTTTGAACAAATTTGCTTAATATTTTACTAACTTTGCACAAACTATTCAAAAGTTACAAGGGATATTTTAAACAAATGCATAAAATTTCATAAAGCCAGTTCTAAATTGAATTTGAGTTGCTCTACTTTCTTGCGTTAATAATCTATTTCCAAAACCAATTTTGAAGTATACCGAGTTGCTGTAGAGTACTATAATATTAGACAATATTATAAATATATTAATTTTAAACACATTTGCTTAATATTTTACGAACTTTGCGCAAATGATTCAAAATTACAAGAGATATAATAAACGAGTGCATAAAGTATACACCCACGTTAACAATCTATTTTTCATTTGCAATTTTAAAGTATACCGAGTGACTGTAGAGATCTACAATATTAGATAATATTATAAATCATTTAATTTTAAACAAATTTCTTTAATATTTTATGTACTTTACTCAAACCGTTTAAAAGTTACAAGAGATATAAAATTCATAAAATATGCATATAAAAATGCATAAAATTCCATAAAGCCAATCCACGATTGGTTGTGGCTTGCTCGATTAGTATGCACTAACGATAACAACCTAATTTTCAATTGCAATTTTAAGATATACCGAGTTGCTGTAGAGTTATACAATATTAGACAATATTATTAAACATTTAATTTTAAACAAATTTGCTTAATATTTCACTAACTTTGCGCAAACGATTCAAAAGTTACAAGAGATATTTTGAATAAAAGAATAAAATTTCATAAAGCTAGTTCTAGATTGAATTTGAGTTGCTCTACTTTCTTGCGTTAATAATCTATTTCCAAAACCAATTTTGAAGTATACCGAGTTGCTGTAGAGTTCTATAATATTAGACAATATTATAAATAATTTAATTTCAAACAAGTTTTCTTAAAGTTTGATTTATATTACTCAAACTGTTCAATAGTTACAAGAGATATTATAAACAAATTTGTTTAATAATTCTGCTGCTTTCTCCATCCTAGCTTGAAGTTTTATCCGGCTGATGACCATGATCATCATTCTTCTCATGACTGTGATCATGACCCGGCTGATGAGAACGCTTTTCCTTCGGCTGATGACTATCATCTTCATCACTTTCTTCCGACGATTCATCACTTTCATCCGATTCAAATTCCACCGTGCTGCTCATGGCCATGTAAGATTGAATTTTATGTATCAAGCCGCTCAGTTCCCACAGCACCTCCATGTAGACCTCTTCGTAGGCCTCTGGTGACCAAAGGAAGTCGTTGTGGGTGAAGTGATCGCCATCGACCAGGACGATGTCCTTCAGCCCGCGCATATCAACGAACATGTCGTGAACCGACTGGTGAAGGAAAAAAATGTTCTAGCTGGTATTGGTATTTTGCCTTGAGGCAAGTTACATGAACTTCCTGATATGTGTTAATAATCGACTTAATCAATAAAAAATTAATTAATTTATGAGTGATTAAAAGTATTCTGAGTGAATTTATTACATATAATTGAAAAAGAATGAACACGTTAACTCGGAGTATTTTCTAAAAGCCAATTTTCACAAATCAATAATTTTTGTAATTGAACCAGTTTCCGTAGGACTTTAATGGTTTAGTATAATTATTACGACTAAGTACTCTATCGTTATTTCAAGTAAATCGCCTAATTTTAATTTTAACAAACGTCAAAAAAACTACTCATTTTTTCACAATTTGATGATTTTTTACATTTAAACTATTTGTCGTAAGGCCGTAATATTTTAGTAAATTCTATAAGACCATGATATATATCGCCAAAAAAGTTACATAAAAATCAGCTTAATTTTTTTTTTCAACAGTTAATTTACAGGAAAACGGCTCGGTAGATTTTCAACTAAAACTAATCGGTATCATTCTCAACCAATATCTTTCGAACAGTTTTTGATTTTTTAAAATCGATTCGGTAGTATGAGCTTAAATGTGAAGGAAAAGTTTAACACTTTGTTTCGAATTATAAAGAAACGGTTCGGCAGATCGTCGCACAAAACTGATAAACGATAGTCCTCATCAAAATACATCAAATGGTTTTTAAATTTCAGAAATCGGTTCAGGCGTTTTTACGCAAACGTCAATGAAAGGTCTAATTTTGACAAATGCCAAAAACGGTACCAAATATTGCAAACTTTGACGAATTTTTAAAGTTAGACGAGTTGTTATAAGACTATGGTATCTATCATCAAAAAAATAATGATAAAAATCGTAGTAAAATTTTTTTGAACACTTTATTACAAGAAAACGGCCCGGCCGATCTCTACCAAAAACTAATCAGCACGATTCCCAACCAATATCTTTCGAACGGTTTTTGAATTTTCAAAATCGATTCAGAATTGCGGGCTAAAACGTGGGCGAAAAGTTTTCACTTTTCTGCTATTTATAAAGAAACGGCTTGGCCGATCGTCGCACAAAACTGGCAAACAATAGTCCTCATCGAGGTGCATCAAATGGCTTTTAAATTTTTGAAATCTGTCTAGCCGTTTTTGAGAAAACGTCGATTTACGGCAAAAAATCTGTTCACATACACGCGCACGCAAATACACACACATACACATACTTTTTTCAAATTTGGTCTCATTCGAATCAGAATGGCTTGAAACGTCGAGTAAACATAAAATTAGCAAACCAGGTTTTTTTTGATAAAAACAAACTTCTCTTTCGGGAAGTTAACTAGTACTGTAATGGATTGTATTCCATTCCTATTGATGGGAACATACCAAAAAGCAATTAATATATCGTACGAGATTATGAAAATTATAGACTAAATTATTGAAGCAATTATGTTGTGTGGTAAAATCAAGTTTGATATTGTCTTTTTACAATAGCAACTATATTATTTTCTTGTGAAATTCTTATACTGCTCATGCTAACACCATACATAAATCACAAAGGCAGGACATCAAATAGGATATTAAAAAGTATAGGATAGGATATTAAGAAATTTGGAACTTTTGAATTGTAGACGTGGGTACAGGACAACGTTTGCCGGGTCATCTAGTATATATATATATATATATATATATATATAAACAGATTATTTATAATCGTGAGCGCATATATTGTCATCTTCGGAATAAAATACCGAAAGCTCGTTCTTTGCATGTCCAGCATCATATACAGGGGGCTCGGGCTGTTTGGTTTTCCATATTGCCTTCTGGTCCATAATCGAAGCCCTGGAGTTGGCCTAAAATAAAAAAAGAGCACCACAAAATAAATAAAATACTAATTCCCGTAGCAATTTAAAAAATCATACGCTGAGATAATTCTAATGTTGTAACTTAAAAAAAAAAAATTTAATACATTTTATATTAAGGGGCACAACTAGTGTAACCGTCTAAAAAAAGGTGATTTTTGGGAATTTATATTAAAAAAAACTACTTTATCAATCATTTCAAAATTTTAGGAATATATTTATACATGTTTTAAGAATACATAGTAAATTTTTGAAGAAAAAAATTTAATATTTTTTAAGTTATCGTCGATCTCCAACGGCGCGACAAAAAAAGGCTCTTCACTTCTGCAGTGATTCCGGCCTTCTACGGGATGAAATTAAAAAAAAAAAAAACTCGTTAAACTAGATAACATTGTCTGTAAAATGAGCTACGATAAAGAAAAAAATCAAAAATTGACAAAATGACAGCGTTTTTTAAAAAAAATCGAATTTTACCAAAAATTTTGGTCGTTTTTGGACTGCCAAAATTCGATTTTGATCCGACTAAAAATCGATAGATCATTTTACGGAGAACTATATATAGAACATGTAAAAAAAAATTGATAATGATCGGATCATTTATTTTTGAGTAATTGCTGCAGCAAATTCGGAAATGCTGTTTTGAGAAAAACGCGTTTGAAGATAAAATGATCGTTATACTATATACAATATATATATTCTTTAAATGGCTGTGACTCTAAAAGTATTAAGATATCGATTTAAAATTGTAGAATGTTATTTTTAAAGGTATAACCTATCGAAATATGGAAAAATTGAAAATTCGATTTTTTTTAAATTTCACACTAGTTGAGCCTCTTAATGTACTAAATGTAAATAATTATCTTTACCGGACATGTATATTTGCATGTAGTGCAAAACCTGACGGAAAGATACTCCAGCAGGCATCGAGTCCAGAAATTCCTCTGATACAGGCTAAAAAATATTTATTTGAAATTAGATATCAATATTTTTCTATCTGCTAGTTTTACTTACGATATCTTTGTCACATCTGTTATATCCAGGAACTATGAATCTGAAAATTTCACAGAAACCACTCGGTTTCTTCCTGTAGGCTCTGCAGAACGACCGGATCATTTTTCCGTACCAACTTTTGGCATGGAATTGATCATTTAAATCCCTCTTCTCACTGTGATTCTGCATAATAATAAATGATTGATAATGTATCAAGATTATTTGGTGTGTTCTTTATCCCTTACCACAAGTTCATTGTACAAGATCTTCAGCAGGTCAGCCTCCTCCTGCGTCCTTTCAGGCCATCCAATAATCGGTGCCAAAAGCAAAGTGGTGCCTATATTCTTGGTATGTGTTGGAAACTCGGAGAAGTAGATGAGGGCCAATGTGGCCCCTTGAGAGTGGCCGATGTAATTCACAAATCTTTTGTGGGTGATGTTGGTGATCGTGTCGAGGGCCCCTGGGATGTCGTAAATCGCCTGTTCGTGGATACTGAAGAAATGGAAAGTTATTAATGGTAACAGTCAATAATTATATGCCAAAACTGTGAATGGATAAAGAGCTAAAATCTCATTGTGTGAGAGAAACGGGACAGACTTCGGTCTCATCCATACTGGGAGGTAAACAAAAATAATCTAAACTAGTGGTAACTAATAGTGTATGGCATCGTGCCTTAAGGTGAATGCTGGAATTTCCCGTACAGTAATGAAATATTCGAGAAATTTTAAACGTTTTCAAATATATTATTACAAATAA